GGGCGCGGCAGAGACATTGATGTGAGAGAGACACATCCATTGGTTGCCTCTCACACACGCCCCAAAGGGCCAGGGATGGAGCCTGCAACCTAGGTACTTGCCCTTGGCCCCCCCCCTCCCCCAATCAAGCTTGAGACCCTTTGGTGCTCTAACGATTGAGCCACACCGGCCAGGGCTGTTGCGTTGTTTTTTTGATTTTTTTTCCTGAGCCAGTTCTTACGGTTAGATGTTAAACCTGTAGAGATATAACACCTCTCCCTCCACATTTTTAAAAAAAGAAATAGAGCCCCGAGTGGTGTGGCTCAGTGGTTAGAGTGCCATCAGGAGCACTGAAGGGTCGTAGGTTCGATTTCCAGTCAAGGCACACGTGCCCAGGTTTCGGATTCCATCCCCGGTTGGGGCACATAGGGGATACAACCCATCGATCTTTCTCTCTCTTTCTCTTCCTTTCCCTTCCTCTCTCTAGAATCAATGAAAAAAGCATATCCTTGGGTGAGGCATAAAATAAAAAGTAAAATATATTTAAAAATAAAAACGTAGGTTTGAATTAATACTGTTATTTTAACAGGAAAAACTACTTTGGCTGACTGTCTTATATCTAGCAATGGAATCATCTCCAGCCGCCTGGCAGGCAAGGTATGCTGTTATACTTGATAGACACTGTTAGCCATCTCCAGTGGATGAACCATTTTGCAAAGCCCAGAGAATGGGATGCAGGCCCTGATCCGTGGGCATTAACACTTCACGAAAGCCATCCGGTAATTGGCAGTGTTAGAAATGTCTTCTACCCTATCATTTTTTAAAATTGTGTTAGAAAATCTAATTTAGGAAAAGAAGTGAAGGCTTCTCTTGCTTCTAGAGACTTTCTGTCTGCACCTCTGTTCAGACTTTGTTAAGAGGCTGTGCAGAGAAGAATGGTTGTGTTCTTGATGAATGGAAGAAAATTCCCCAAATACTGCCTTCTGTGATTGCTCATGGACTACCAATCATTCATGGCTGACATTTGAATGAGCAACTCTCTGGGGAGGGTATATGGTGTTTGAATACATTTGGAAAGCGGTCATGTCTTTCAGTTTGCCTGTGTTCTCCTTCCCATGACAACTTCCATTTTCCAACCCCCTCTCCCTTTAAAGAAAAATACGAAGGGCATTTAGTTTAAAAGGTAAACATTTAAAACAAACGTCCAAACCATCGCATCTTAACATCACATTTTAATACATTGGGAAGTAAGGATGCTTATGTTGCATTTTCACAGTTACGGTACATGGACAGCAGAGAAGATGAACAGATCCGAGGCATCACTATGAAATCCAGTGCCATTTCCCTGCATTATGCAGAAGGTAAGCCAATCGATATTCTAAAGGAAAATAGTTCTGAATCTTCCGTGTCCTCCTTTCTTTCCTGTATTAATCGTGTGCCTCAGTGTCTTTGCTTTATATTCCACAAGTTGCATTCTTGCCTCTCCAAATAATCTGTTGTCAGTCAGGCTCTTCAGACTTGGATGCAGGTGAGGACCTCTGGCTGGCTTGCAGATGGAAAAGCTGGCTGGTCACACCTGTCCCCCCCATCCACACAGGTGACTGGATTTCTTCAGAATGAAGGTCAGGAATCCTAAGAACTTGCTGTCTCAGCCTTAGTGTTCCATTTCCTGGCTGGGTCCTTGTTCTGTCCCATGGCCTGTGTATTGGGTTAAGAATCTTATTGATGTCTACAGCTTGCTATCCCCAAATAAGGATGTCATTTTCACAGTAACTCTTCTAGGAGTTGAAAAGGATTATTATGTTTGGCTAGAGGTCATTGGTAGGTGGCCAGAGCTGTGGGGATGGAGGCCTTTCTGAAAATTAAGGAGTTAATATGGGATGAATACACATGGCAATCCTGTGACAATATGTTACTCGCAAGGCCCCAGTGCCCATTGAAATCCTTAACCTAGTGTTGGGCAGTCACTGCCAGCGGAGTCTTGGCCTGTGAGGTGAAATGCATGCCGTCCTGAGTATGGTGGTCAAAGCTGTGTCTTTGGATTGGGTGGGTTTGAACGTCCGCTCTGCCACTTTGCAGTGTTTGGTCTTAGTCAGTGCACCTTAGAGTTGGGTTCTAGCCGGATGTCCTGCAGATATGTAGCTTTTTGTGCTCTCATGTTCTGCTCTGTAAAATTGGGCAAATGGTAGTAACTCCCACAAAGGGTGGTTGTAGGTAGACGTTTAAATAACGTCTGTAAAGTGCGTAGATCAGTGCTGGGCACAAGCGGGTAGTCCACAGATGGGAGCCATGGCTGTCGTCACTGTGTTGTCGTCATCGTGTGCTTAGGGCACAAGTCAGGTCATCAGGTGTTAAAATTGCACTGGGGGAAATCCTTTAAGTGGCCCGTAACTTGTCATGTTTAGTCTCATGGTAGTTCTGGCGCCCACAGAACTGAGCAGCAGAATGAAGAGAAGAAGGGAAAGTAAAGTATATATGCAGGTGTTTGAGCATTCTGATAATTATTTTGCCTTTAAAAGAGAATTGTGTCAAATTAGCAACAAATGGGGAATAAGTATAGAATTCTGATTGATTACTGTTTTTGTGCATGGTCTCCTTCTGTTTTAATGTTAAGTCTCTGTAACTGGGATGGCCAGTTCTGGTTTGCCTGGGACTGACATAGGGCTAGTGGGTCATGGTCGCCCGGAGATAAGCTTAATACTTTTGTTTGTTGTAAGGATTAAAGGAGATTATATATGTGAGAATACTTAGCACACTGCTCGGCACATAGTAGCTACTCCTTAAATTTTTGTAGAATTGACTCTAAGTCTTGATTGAGCAGATTCATACCTGCCCTTTGAAATTGTGTAGGGAAGTAGTTGGCCAGTTGCTTTGTGTCTTTTCACATTGGCATTTCCTGTTTGGGCCCCTTTGAACAGCCTTCCGTCTCAGGCGCTGGTTCCTTTTAGTCTCAACTTCCTAATCTGTAAAGTGAGTATAGTAATATTCATCTAATAGGGTTATTGTAAGGATTCAATAATGTGATTAGCACACTAAAATTGTTTACCCAGCACAGTGCCTGGCTCACAGGAGGCTCTTAGGAAGTGGTAACTGTTAGAATGATAAAGTCTGAACACTTTGTATAGGTGCCATTTGGAATCAGTAGTTTCATCAGTGGGAATCCTAGGTTGGAACGGCAGCTGTTGATGGAGCCTTTGCCTTCTTTACCTTACAGTCATTCCCAGAAGCTTTCTTGTTCTGGAATGCCCGAGGAAGAGCACTGTATATCTGCACGGCTGACAGTGCCTGTCCTCACGTTTCATTTCAGGTAATGAGGAGTACCTGATTAACCTGATAGACTCTCCAGGACACGTGGACTTCTCCTCCGAAGTGTCGACGGCTGTTCGCATCTGCGATGGGTGCATCATTGTGGTCGATGCTGTGGAAGGAGTCTGTCCACAGGTAGTGGCTGTGATGTGAAAATATCTGACCAGTTGAGGAAGGTGGGAAGGAGGAGGAACTGACTGTTGATTACTGTGTGCAGTTAGACATGTCACTGACAAAGTCAGTTTTACATTTTACATTCAGCAGCGTTCCAGTCTACGGTGGAGTTAAGTCACCCACCTTTTGAAGGGATTTTAGAGAGGATGACTTTAACTTACGTACTTGAAGTGTCTCATATCCTCTTATACAGGGACTCGGCAGAAGTGGGAGAAATGCTGGATTTTGGGACAGTATTGTGGTTTTACTCCAGTGGGAAAGGTTTCTGATCTGTGAGAGGATGTTGAGAGCAGACTCCTTCTCCTGCTCTTCTGTGTCTTTAATCTGGTGTTTCTCATCTTTCCATCAAAGTTGGAAAAGTTCACCCCTAAGGTCAGCGTGAACACTTAGCTCTGATGGGCGTGGAGTTCGGTGTGGCTCTCTAATCTGTTCTTTTAATAATTTTTCTTGAAACCTTATGTTTTATTTTTAAAATGTTGTCAACTTACAGCCTACTTCTTAATATACCCTTGTTTATTTCATGTTTATTAATATTTTACAGAAAGAATAGTAAAAGGTTTAAGTGACTTGAATGGAGTCAAGTTGATAATTCCTAGAAGATGTGCCCTAATTATTCTGTAGCTTCTCCTCTGGTTTCCCTAAGGGCACAGGCACCTCAGCTTGAGTAGCACAGCCTTAGTCCATGTAGTATCTTAGGTATCCTGACAAGATAAGTGAAATTAACACACCTGATTGTAGAAGAGCAGAATAGTGGTTAGTGCTAGCAGATGGGGTTATGTTCAGTAAGGTGTACACAGGGCCTTCTGAGGGAGTGTTCAGTGTGTTGGCAACATAAGTGTTTGTTTTTAAAATCTGCGTGTGTGTGTGTGTGTGTGTGTGTGTGTGTGTGTGTAAGTGTAAAATTCCACTAAGTTCTTCACTGTCTTTTACGCAGTTTTATGTATTCTTCCTAAATAAATTGTCAGTCTCATGAAGGCAAGGAGGGTTCCTAGTCTGCAGTTCTCTGCTGATGTAACGTGTGGTTTGTGAATGTCTCGTGAGCACCTGCGTCTGACAGGCATAGTCTGAGTTATGATAAAGGAGTATGGAAATGAGCTGATTATTAATCAAGATTTTTTAATGTGCTTTAATTGTTTCAAATCGTTTTATATTTTCCTTTCTGTTTTAATCAGACACAGGCAGTTCTGCGACAAGCCTGGCTCGAAAATATCCGCCCAGTGTTGGTGATAAATAAGATAGATCGCTTGATAGTGGAACTGAAATTCACCCCACAGGAGGCCTATTCTCACCTCAAGAATATTTTAGAGCAGGTATTTTATTCTTTACTTGAGTATTTTTAAAATCAGGGCTCAAAGAAGAGTCATAACGAAGTTGCTAAGTTGAGTATGAGGCAATGCTACAGAAAATTCACTTTTCCACATAAGATTCATATGGGCTGGAATCACCATACTACAACGGAGGCCGCAAGACAGGCATTCTCTCAGGAGTCCCCCCCTCCTGGAAGCATCCTTGAGCATAAAGCTTGGACAGTAGGTTTTAATGCTCTCTTGTTTAAAATCTTGGAGTTTGGTTCCAAAGGGAAGCAATATTAAGAGGCTCTTTGGTTTTTTATTACCTGTCTTGAGATTAAATTTTAACCTAAGCATGCATTCATTTTATTCGGCGAACATTTACGTGGTTACATGTTGAATAAAGGAATTCTTGGGTGTCCATTGTATGCTAGCAATTGTGAATGTAATGGCAGACAGGTCAAAGATCTCACTGTGGAGAGGGAGTCAGAACGATGAGATGAGCCCTGGTGTGATTTGAGATCACAGGTGAGGGCCACCTCACCCAGATCTGGTCCAGAGGGAAGAGAGAGTTGGGAAAAGTTTAACAGCGGAAGCCTTGAGACTGAAGAAGGGTGGTGTTTGCCAGGTAGAGAACTGTGGCCGGGGCACTTGAGAGAGAAGGGATAAGACGTACAGTCGTAAAGGCAAGAAAAAGCGTAGTACAGTGTTTTATTCGGAGAACTTCAGGTTGGTTGTTACAGATGAAGAATCAGATCATGTTACGCAGTGACAGGAGGTGGGAGTAGAAAGGAATTCAGGGCTTAGATTACGTGAACCTTGTGCGCCATGTATGTAGGTTTGAACTCTTCTTCCAGACAATGGAGCACCATTGGTGAGATCAACTTGAGAATATTTGCTGAAGGGGGGTGATGCTGAGTGTAGAGCAGTGAACAAGAATGGATCAGTGGGTCTGGCTCTCTGTAGAGATGGCCGGGGATTGGCACAGGTGAAATATTCCTGCCTGCAATGGAAGGAGATGGGGCCAGTGGGATTTGCAGATAAAGGCCAATGGGCTGGAATATGGGGAGCTTGCAGATTTCTGAATAATAGGCTCCATTTTCTCTCCGAGACAGGAAATAAGATTACTTACTGGAGAGTGAAAGTAGGTGGGCGTTAGAGGTCAGAAGGGGGGCCTGAAAGTGGTGAGAAGTTTAAATAGCTGATGTGAGAAAGGGCCAGGGAGTTGGCTAAGGTTGCAGACTAGGATTGTGTGGGTTGGAAACCATGAGTTCCTATTGTCTCCAGGCCCCAGTCCTGAAAAATGGGTGAAGGTATGACACGTTAATGTTTACATTAAAATAGCCACAGAAACGACCATTCAAAAGCCTTACAATTTAGTCTTGCTGGGTTTGGAAAGAATGGGTTGATAATATGGAAGTTATTTATTGTAAATGTCAGCGTAATGTGAGCCCAAACTGACTGATGGATGATTCTCTAGGCTTAACAAGTGTTAGTCACGGGGTCCCCTACCTTGGGCACGCTAAGCATCCGGCTGACATTCTGCCATTTCACTCTCTCTCCTAGATTAATGCGCTCACGGCAACTCTTTTTACTTCTAAAGTCCTAGAAGAAAGAGCAGAGAGAGAAAGCGAATCCCAGGGGAACCCAAACTCTGACCCAGCAGAGCAAGTGTATGACTGGAGCGCTGGCTTGGAGGACACGGATGACTCTCACCTGTACTTCTCTCCAGATCAGGGGAACGTGGTGTTCACTAGTGCCATAGACGGGTGGGGCTTCGGGTAAGTTCATTTGCATCTAATTAAATCTCTGGATTTTACACCCAACTGATATTTTAAATTGAACTTTTTATTTTGAGATAATTGTAATGCACTCCAGTTGTAAGAAAGAATACAGATTCTCTTTTTACTCATCCCTGGAGTAGCAGCAAGACAGGGCAACCAATTCATGTTTCTGCCTCACATCGATGTTTCTCTCTCTCTCTCCTTCCTTCTTCCTCTCTCTCCCCCTTCATCTTGCTCTAAAAAAACCAATAGAAACATATCCTCTGATGAGGTTTTTTAAAAAAAAAGAAAGGGAGCTATAGCCTGAATTCTGATTCATGTGATGTAGGGAGCAGTGCACAAGAACGTGGGCTCTGGACCTAGGTGCTTGGGCTTGAATCCCAGCTTCACCTGTTACCTGTGATGTCTGTTCTGCTTTACCCTTTTCTGTAGAAAGCGAGAGATAATTCGCACCTCGTAGGAGAGTTGAGATGATTGCATTTAGTAATAAAGTAGAATAGTACCTGGCACAGGAAAACTCAAGTGTTAGCTGTACTTATTCTTACTGTTGTTACTAATAACATAAACACTTGCTTTTCCTTCAGAATTGAGCACTTTGCCAAAATCTACAGTAAAAAAATTGGCATAAAAAGGGAAGTTCTTATGAAAACATTGTGGGGAGATTATTACATAAATATGAAGGCTAAGAAGATTATGAAGGTTGACCAGGTAATGTGGCGTATGTCCCTTTTGAATGTGGGTTGCGCTCCTGCCTTAAGAGAACCTGTACTGTAACACCTGTCATAGATGTAATTTGGCTTACGTGGGTCAGTTCGTGAAGCATTTTTCACTGTGTATATTTGGTTAAAGCTTGGGAATCTTGCATCCAAATACTGCTTAAATAGAGTTCTTTACATGTAGGGAACAAAGAATTGCTTTTTTTTTTTAGAGCAGAAAAATCTCAGATCCTGGTCCCTTGAAGACCATACTTTGCATCATGTGTTTGTGTGTCGCCTTCACCATAGATAGACGTCTCTCTCACGCGTCTCTGTAGGGCCTGCACTACAGTCCTAGTCTCAGCTGAGGCCTTTTCTTATCCAGTGCCTGTCACATGAGTGCTGATGGGAGACGTGGTGCTCCCTGAACTCCGCCTTCTGTAGACAGGCTGTGTAGGACTCCCGAGTCACATGCCTCAAAGTGTCCTTTTCCTGGGGCTTTTTTCCTAAATGTAAAATTCAGGGTTTTATAAATTTATTCTCATTGAAGAGCATATATATTCTTTTAGGAAGTACTCATAAAGGCACTGGAAAGAAAAAATTCAGAGGCCAGCACTGCTAATGCTACGGTTTTAGTTTCTTTTATTGTTTTTGAATATATACATCCCTCAGTTGAGATTATACTGTTTATGTCATGTAGTGGCTTTTTTGCTTGATATTGTGTCTAAAAAAACCATTGTGAACATCTTTCCTTTGCCACTAAAAGCTTTTAATAAACTATATTTTAAAAGGAGCCAGTGCAGTGAAGTGGGAAAGAGCATGTTTGAGAGTCTGACTTTGTGTTTGAATCTCTAGCCACTGAGCTACACCGGCCAGGGCTCTGTGGTTTTTTGATGGCAGTAGTGGGGCAGCCACAGTGATATGCTCCCCAGAGTCTTGTCCTTTGTGAAGTCCATAGTTCCCATAAGAAGAGAACAGTGGGGTTATTATAACTACTTTTCTCCACTTTGCTGTTGAATAAATATTTCCTAGTAGAAATGAGACATATCGATAATAAAACATACCAAAAATGAATGTTTAAGATACCTATTAAATACTCAGAAACCTAAGCATATACGTTCTTTTTTACAGGCAAAAGGAAAGAAACCATTATTTGTACAGTTGATCCTGGAAAATATATGGAGTTTGTATGATGCTGTCTTGAAAAAGTAAGAGTGTATAAAACTGTTTATCTTTGGGCAACATAATTTGCCTCAGTTTCCAGTTTGATGAGGAAACTAGGGAAAGCTGAGATAGACGGAGAAAGTGAAGAGAACCTTTATGGATGAGTTGGTTACGGGGTATGGAGACGATTTAAGGGGTATGGGTCACCCAAGTCCAGGGTAGCAGAAGGGACAGAACAGAAATATTTTATGGAGTGCTGAAGTGAAGAGACGAAAGGATGGAAAGAAACATTGGACCTTTGTTTTTGCAAACCCAGTTTAAAATAAAATAGTAGCTGTGGTAGAGAGGGGCTTGCTGTCTAGGGTCATCAGTGGGGAACTTGGGCAAAAGCTTGCTTGGTGCAAGTGGAAAAGAAAGTTTGCGGTAGAGAGTTTAGTTTCTAGGTTATTCCAGAGTTGGATCAATGCCTTTTTAGTGTGCATTTATAAGACATTCAGCGGTTGGCATAGCTTGTTTAAGGAGGTAGTGGAATGGTGCCTCACGAAAAGCTTTAAAGAAAGGTTCACTTAAAAGCATAGGAGTGGAGATTGGGTCCTATACTGTGGCAGGAGCCCCTTCCAATCATTTTTTAGTTTTTTGTAGAAAAAGTAATACATGAGGAATGAATGTGTCAAATAATGTTGAGTTCCTTTTTCTCACTGCTCCTTTCTATCTGTATGTAACCCTCCCCCCCCCAATCTTGTATGTTTGCTGTAGGGACAAAGAAAAAATTGATAAAATAGTGACTTCTTTAGGATTAAAAATTGGAGCCCGGGAGGCACGACATTCAGACCCTAAAGTCCAGATCAGTGCCATTTGCAGTCAGTGGCTACCCATATCCCATGCTGTTCTTGGTATCCTTTATTATAATGACTTGAAGGTGTTTCTTTTTATTTTTGTTTAGTGATCTGTAAAAATAGAAACTTTTTATTTTACTAAAATTTACATATAGGTAATTTTGGTATTTTAGATCACTGTTTTATTTAAACTCTCTTCATTGATCTTTGGCCACCAGTCAGCACTCATGTGGTGGGCTGGGGTGTCTGGGTGGGGACCAGCCATGTTATCTTAGTCCAGAGCTCTGATGGACACTGGCTCTGATAGGGGACTTTCTTGTATCATAGCTCGTGGATGATGGCGATTTTATAAAAGATAACATAGATGGAAACCATGTGAAAAAAAATTTAGGATTTCAAGCTCAGAGGTAGCTACGCTACTATGGAAGCTCTGTCTCCTCACTTGTTCCATGGGTCATCAGTGTATTAGAATATCCGTCATAAGAATACTTTCTGGGCCTTAGAGAGTCCATGACTCCCTGGAATTATATTTGTATTTTGAGATATGATGCACACAGTATATGTTGCCTTACAGCCCAGGCATTGTTACCTCAGTATAGTGCATGTCAGGAATCTGTTCCTTGGTGGAGTGCACTCACCCACGTTTTTGAGTCCTTAACAACAGACGTCAGCTATGGTGTGTCAGAAACTTCCCAGTCCCCTTGATATGTCGTCCGAGAGAGTGGAGAAGCTGATGTGCTCAGGATCACACACGTTTGACTCCCTTCCGCCAGAAACCCAGGCACTGAAAGCAGGTGAGGTAAAGATGCACCCTCGTGTTGATTGTCCTAGGCCAGGCTGCTCTAGACCCACTTGCCCAATGGCCACTTCCATAAGTAAACAATTGCGTTTTTTCCCTCAGAGTTTCAATTTTGCTGTAGCTGGTTTTCTCTGTCAGTGGGGTGGAAGACCAGAGCCTCTGAGTCTCCTTCCTTCACATCGATCTCATTTCATAATGGTGTCATATTCCATTTTTGTGAGCAGCCAGGACTGTATCCCTGAGCTGCCACGTCACCCTAAGGACTGTGGAAGAGTGGTTCCAGGGGCTGTGCTGCTCCCCAGTAGCCCTGTATCGACACTCCCCGTGAAGGGCACCTCCCATCCCAGCTCTCTCAGGCCCTGGAACTTCATCTAGGTGCACTCACTGTCTCCACTGCTCTTCCTCCCGTTCTAGTGGATTTGCAGCCTCCATCCCCCCAACCACTCTGCACCTCTTCCCAGGGCCACTACAACTCTCCTTTGTTAAATCATCTGACTAGACCTGTCACTAGCATTGGACACGGTTGGTCACTCCTTCCTCGAGGCACTGTCTTCCCTTGACTTCCAGGCTTCCAGATGCTTCCGATTGGTGCCCTGGTGCCTTATTCTTAATGTCTTTTTCTTGTCACTCGCCATCTTTCCGACGGTTTACTGCGGGTGCCCCCAAGCAAGGCTCAATCTTCGGACCACATTTATTTTCTATCTGCATTCACTCTCCTGGGGATCTCATTTAGTCTCAGGGCTTCATGTGACAACGATACGCTCGTAGTTCCCACATCTGTATCTCTAGTGCATAGCTGCCCCCCAAACTCCACACTCCTGTGTCCAGCTGCACACTTCCTGTCCCTCCCTCCCTCTCTCTTTCTCTCTCCCTCCCTCTCTTTCTCTCTCTCTCCCTCCCTGCTTCCCCCCCTCCTACTCTTTCTGAAAAATCAATGGAAAAAATATCCTCTGGTGAGGATTAACAACAACAAAAAGATTGTGGTGATAGTTACATAACTGTATTAAAAATCACTAAATTGTACACTTTAAGTGGGTGAATTGTATGATGTGAATTGTATCTCAATAAAGCTGTTTTTACAATAGGAAAAAAAAGGAACAAGTCTGGAGTCAAGATTGTCTGGATTTAGATACTGTCTGTTCCACTTTCATTGTCATATAACCTTGGGCAAGTTATTTAATCTCTAAGTTACAGTTTCTAATACATAGAGGCATAGTAGCACCACTACTTGCCTTGTTTGGGGGGATAATCTGTGAGATAATTTATGTGAAGGACCCATAGTAAATGCTCAATAAACGTTAACTATTATTATTGGTTATCCGACAATCCTGGAGTTTGATACTGTTCCCGTTTTTCAGATGAGCGCTCTGAGGCCTACAAAAGTGAATACTTTGTCAAAGATCATGAACTTAGTAGAAAGTAGAAGCAGACATTCTGATGACACGTGACGGCAAAGCCAGGCTTTACCACTATACAATTCTGCCTGCCTGAGTAGATATATCTTTCATAGTATAACATATATTTATAGAAAGTGCTTTAAGAATAATGTAACTGGCCTAGCAGGACATGGCTCAGGGGTTGAGCATCGACCTAGGATCCAGGAGATCGGGGTTCGATTCCTGGTCAGGGAACGTGCCTGAGTTGTGGGCTCGATCCCCAGTCGGGAGCGTGCAGGAGGCAGCTGATCAATGA